TAATTAAGTTTTAGATGATTCTTTGATTTATGGGTATCTGATTGATAGGAAAAAAATGTTGCCCGTGGTTGTAATTAAACAGCTGCTTTATCATTATTATTGTTGCCGGAAGAAAGTAATAATTGTCTTCTGCAGAAAAACATGGGAATTACGTTAACACCGCAGTTTTTGTCACTTACAGTTGATCTTTATGTATGTGGAGCAAATTAGTTTGTCGACATTCACTGCTGTGGCATTAACTACATGCCCAATAGGCTTGTGTAGCTTTTCAAATGCTCAGACGTCTGAGTAAAATGCCTGTCATTTGTCACCCCTCCATTATTAAATGTTCAATTGTGTCAAAACAGCCTTTAGGTCATTCACTGTGGTAATTGATAGCAGCTATGTGTGGCAAGTAGAGCTTTCATGCTGTGTTACAGTACAATCAGTATAGCCCAGCCCTGCTCTCAGAGCAGCCACATCGCTTCAAAATTGGATAGTTCCTGCAAGAGCACAGAGGCAAACGTTCAGAGCCTCCTTTTTTAGCAGCAAACAAGTTATGAAGTAATCCTGTGCTGTACTTGAAATAACTGATGTTCTTCACCACAGTCTCGGGGGTACTGCACGCTTGTTTATGAAGGGGAGAATGTCTATGCTTTTTCATTTGCACTTGTAGTATAATGAATCAGTAACCTTTCTTTTCAACATCAGTGCCTATCCAGAAAATTGTGCCATAGTCTTCAAAAGCAATAGCTCTGTCTATTTTGTTTTCCTTCTTGCATTGTTACTTTCTGATTTGATGTGCATCAATTTCAAAGATTATTAACCCAAAAATAATTATATCCCTACTCCCTGTTGTTTTCATGAAAAAAAAAAAAAAAAGCAAACATATGGAGATGACAGAAACCCATTTATCTTGACAGTGACAGGAGCACAACTGATAGTTGGTGTGAAGAAGACAATTTCTCATTGACAGAAAAGTTTCATACACAAAGACATTCTTTCCCAGAGAACTGTTAAGTCAACAGATTGTATAAAATATTTGCCCTATATTTTAATCCAGATTTTATGTACGTAAATGTATGAGACTCTTTATGATTCTAGCTTGACTTTTAGTTGCCGTTTCTTTCACAAATCCTGCTTCTTACCCATGCCATCCTCTTAAGCACCACGGCAACCTCCGATGGGATTGGTTGCCAGGAGACAGGATTCGCTCCCCATTGTACGCCAACAAAGGTGGAGGGAATGGGTGGTGGGGTTACAATCAGTAAGGCTGGAGAGAATCGCAGGCCCAGGGGACTGCCACTTTACAATTACTGTTGTGTTAGAGAAGAGGCACTGGGGCAGGGGGGCAGAGGACTGAATGGTTTTAGGAGTATAGAGTGGAGGTCTGATACCCTACATTTCTTTTGTTTATTGACCTCCATTTACCCACAGCGAGCCACTGTGTCAGACAGTTAGGTGGAGAAACAGTGGGAGACACAGGCAGCCAGGAGTACTTCTTAAGACCAAATTTTTAATTAACTGGAACATCCTCCCCCACTTCGTAGGTGTGCATCTATGTGTAGCTCCTACATCAACAGACAAATGCCTCACACACTGGTGCAAATTGCACGTTATTATGTATGGTTTTCTGAGTAATACAATGTTCGCCTCCATTATCTTACAATTGTATTACGTTATAAAATAAGACACTTATCTCCAGCCCCGCTTCAGTCATCATTTTACCCATAGACTGAAGCTTTCCCAGTATAAGCCAGTGTTTGATTAGAGTTCCATGTCAGTGTAGCCAAGTAAAATCATTTATACTTAATGTCACATGCTACATAGCTCACACATTCCAGTGGTCATCCAGCAATCATTGGTGGTCAGTGACACTGGAATCGTTTTATTTCATAATTGACCAATGTTGTCTTTTTTTTAGTTCTGTGCCTCCTGAATGAGCACGGGTAGTCACATTTATTTTCTTTTTAAATATGACTTTGCGGGCCCAATTTTGCAAATCATCTTTTGTAATGAGAACTTACGACTTAGTTACCAGTTTTTTGGTAAAGCATATTCATACCCACAAATGTGAAACACCCAATTCTCTCTAACTGTTTCATTTGTATTTGTGTCTGTCCATGTCATCATCTGGTGGTTGAGTGAGTAATCTTTGAAGCCTCACTTTATTTACATAGTGCACTTGCCACTGGCTCTTCTTCTCTTTGCCTTTCTGTTGAAATGATTAAGGTTTTTTTTTTTTTTACAGAACTCCATCTTAGTGATTTGCATTTCACTGACAGACCGGCCATCTGGGTGCTTGTACGTGATGCATAAATGTGACAAAATTCCTTTATAGCCAGAAATGATAGGTGCCATGTCATGTATCTTATTAGTGAAATGATATGTAGTTTATTTGACTTTTAAAACCTCTGTAAATATTTTTTAATTATGAAATATTAATGACTTGGAATAGGATTGCATACTTAATAGTTACTATGTAGTTACAGTTACATTTGGAATTAAATTTGGTGGTATTTACTAAATAGGATGGAATAAAATACTATCATTATTGCATAATATCTACTGTATAGCAGTAAAGGAAATGTGACATCAAGCAGATTATAGATATAAAAAACCTATAAAATGTTTAACAGAATCAAATATTTCGTCCAATAAAATGTTTTGCATTGATTGGCCAAAAATGCATACAGATTACATTTGGATCATTTTACAGTGTTATAAAGAATAGTGCCAGATAATAATAATAATAATAATAATAATAATAATAATAATCAGAAAGTAGGGGGCCATACAATGTCAACTGCCTTGCAGATTAGATTGACACTGACTGCCACAGTCTGAAATACATCACAACTATTTATTTGTTGTTTTGTTTGACACTGAACTGTACTGTATCTAAATTTTTTTATTATGTTTTAACCTGCTATTTGCTGATGTTTAATGATGTTTGAAAGGCCATGTTTTTGCATTAATATGTTGTACTTGGTGGATGAGGCTTTGGGCTGAACTACACAAAAACCCTGCCCCGGGTCTGATAAGTCTGTCATTGATTGAAGAGATACATCAGACAGTGTTCCTTTATTGCCTGTCAAGAAAAACAGTCCCTCTGACAAACTGTTGGTTCAAATATATTTTTCCCAGAATGTAATTTTCTGCCTCTTTTGAAGCAACTTGAAAAATACCCCAGCTTTTTGGGTGCTCAATGACTCGACACAGCTTTTATCATGCATATGCCAAGCTCTGTATCAGTCTTGACAGTGATAGACATGTCTCTGTTTTTCCTATATTACACCCCATATTTCTTCTTTCTGCTGAAGGCAATGGTTGGCTCCCACGAAGGGCATCTGTCATAATCCTTGGGTCGAAACAACTACGGTGCCCAGAGTATAAAACCTTTTGCGCCCATAAGTGCCTGCAGTTTTTAAGCTTCAACAACAGTATGCTTGACTGAAAGGAGGGCTGTAATCAACCAAAGACAGCCTTGGTTACCAGGGTGTATAGTGATCCAGATATTAATAGGTGAAAATCATTGTTTTTTTTTTGTTTTTTTTTAAGAAATCATAAAGCTTTGTCTTTATGATTTAAATGCATGTATTTTCTATACGGCGATGCATGCATGCGATGATAAACAGTTGTAATTCATCGTGAAAGACGTTGCATCTCTTAGCAGCAACTCTGTGTGGTTCTTTTCCTGTCTAAACACTCTGCCTCCCCCATTGACTTGAAGGTGGCAGGCTTTTGAAAGGGTTTTAATATATCTATGCTGCATATGACAGCTCCATTCTCTACGGACTGTTTCCTGCCACAGCTTAAATCTCTTATTGAGTAGAGAATCTTAAGCCAGTAGATGTCACCATGAAATTATGTATTTGTTCTTAGAATTTATGTTCAAGAATCTGTTGCAGGTTACTGACAGGTTGTCACCATTTCTTAAGCTAAGCCATACTTCTCTTTTTTTCTTCCAATGTGTGATTTCTTTTATGCCTTTTCAAATGTGTGCTTTTATAAAGTGGGAAAATACTTTTTTTAAAAAGTGATCAATTTTATGTTAAAAGCATGCCGTTGGTTGTAAGAAAACAACTTTCAATCACTAGTCGACCTTGTGATTTTAAATCTTCAGCCTCCGGGGAGTAATTTTCTACACATTTTAGAAGAGCGTTGAGGAAAATGGTGTTATTGATTAAGGGGTGTGTGGTTGTGTGGATTCCATTCACTGGAGAGGTTTTCTCTGATGAACGTCATCCAAATTAGAAGGCTATACACTGATATAAAAATGCTAGAAAAGGTCCTGCAGATAAAGGAATACAAATTTGCACCTGGAAGTGCTGCTTCTATACACTCTGCATCAGTGTATCCTCATTACTTATTTAAATCTCTGAAGTGGTGTAATTATTGTCGGGGAGAATATCTAATTTGATGTATCTAGTATTAT